AAAGATCAAAATCCTGGGGAACTTTTGCTGAATCCTAAAGTGACCTTAGGTGCTATTGTTACTTCCTTCCATAGCATCCTATATTTCTCAATAAAATATTCATTATATATAAAAATAACTGTTAAATGGATACTTCCCATGCTAGACTACAAACTCTTTGAGGCTAAAGTACATATTCACCTAATATATTCTATACTTAGAACCTGGTACAGAGAAAGTTGTTAAAAGTATTGAATAAATGAAATAATGGAAAAAAAATTAATTGAGCAATCAAAATAAATATTAGTACTTGCTGTTATTTTTTAAAATATCAGCTATTTTGTCATTCTCACCAAGGCAGCTTTCTTATCTCTCTTTGACACTGACCTTAGGAAAAATAAATCCCTATAATACAACAGTGAGGTATGCAGCCTGGGTCTGTCCTACAGAGGTAACCCAGAGGCCTCTAGCATTTTTAGAGTAGCTCAAAGCAGTTCCTGAAAGCCATTTCTTTTACTTTAGAAAAAAAGAGATGATCAGTTGTCCACCCTTGAAAGTCATTGAAATACCAACAAAACCTAGAGTATTCCCCATCTGGAATTCCATAGAACTAAGACTGCAATGAAAACCAATATTCCCAGGGGATAAATTCAGAGGGAACTTCCTGAATCAGAGGGTGGCATGGTGGTTAAGGCATCTGGATCCCGCAAAGCCGACCCCATGATTCAAGTTCTCACCTGACAGCATGGAAAACACTCTGAGCACATGTGCGTAAGTTCCTAAAATTTTGAAAAAAAAAAAAAGGTAAATGAGAAAAGATTGTGCTGTGACTATCCCCCATGGAAGGTGCTTTCTCATTCTCTCTCTCTTTCTCTTCCCCTAGCAAGCACACACACCCTCTGACAAACTAAAAACGACATCCTGCAGTTTGTAACCAAGACAACAGGGCTCTCTGCCTCCCTCAAAACTGTCAAGGAAAAAAAAAAATTACCTAAATTAATTCTTCAAGTTTTAACCAACCAGACCAGAAGGCGGCACATAGTCATGAGTCATGACTTACAGAAAAGTATTTTAGCCAGAAAAGGCTCTTCTACAAACTCGGATTTGGGAAACGAAACTGAAACCAATCTACATTTTATTTCCCAACCTCACAGGACTAGTCACGCCCTGCTGTGTCCTTTTTCAGCCAATGAGACCTTGCACAGAGGTACAGGCAGAGCATGCAAATAAATAGTAGAAATACTGTTCTCTAACATAATAGGAGGAAGAAGCACAGCCATCAGGTATTTCCTACACTGAAATAGATTATTTTTCCTCATTTGTGTGGAAGAAATTTGCAAGACGATCTGGGTAAGTAAATGATTCATTAGTAACATTTTGAGTATCATTGAGAGTAGCGTTTTATTGAATAAGAAGAAATCTATTTTTCCATTAAAAATTGAAATATACCCAAAGTAAAAAATGATAATATCCTAAGCCTAGATATATTAGACTATTTTTGCTGTGACAAGAGACTGGTTTATATTAGTTGAAAAATGAGTCATAACATTTTATAAAAGACGTGACTGAAAAGTAGAAGTGCTCTCATTGATGAACTCCCCCAAGGTATAACAGCATCTCTAGAAAGAACAGACAATGAAAATTTAAAACTGGATTTGACATTAATCAAAGATTCTTCTACCAACTACTGGAAGGAACAGGCAGCTTACAGAAAACAATTCTGATAGCCTCTGAGATCTTAGTGTCAGATGAGAGAGAGAAACCAACTACTGCAAGAAGTCCTTGGAATTATGGCAGCTTTATATTCCTGGTAAAGATTCTAGGTTTATACCTGATTTCCCCAGAGTAAACAATAAGGCAATGCCAAGTAGTGGGGGAACTACATTTTTTAGTTCGGATCTTAATTCCCTTTAGAAGAACTAATAAATCCTACAGCTAATCACCCAGTTACAAAAATACATACAGTTTTAGTAATTTACAAATTGCATTTCCTTTTTTATACTTGATGCTAGGAAACTCAGGACTAAATTTTCAGGCCTCTTTTTAAGGTATATAAAATCAAAAAACTATTTTAGATCCTAACTTTACTCTGTGGCTTAATTTTTTTTTCTTCCTACCTTTACATAGCCTTCCCTCCTATTTCTTTTTTTTTCTGTATATATTTATATATATTATTATAGTACTTTGTCATCATTTATTTCAACAGGTTGTATTTTTCATAAGCAAATTACAAATTTTTTTCTACTTACAACTCCAGAGGATGATTAAAACAACCATCAACATGCACACTATATACACAGACTCTTTTGTAAATATGTAAAGTTACTACTTGGTATTTTCATTACTATACACTCTCCTTCCTATTTTCTAAACTTAACTTAGTAGGCAGTTTTCTACGGACTTCTCTGCTATAAACATTTATCACAGAACTTTTTTTTTTTTTGGAATTTGCCCCATCCTTTTTTTTTTCTTTC